TATATNTATATATGGTGTGTGTGTGTGTACGTGAGTATGCGTGTGTCTGTATGTGGGTGTGTATATATGAGTGTTTGTGTATATATAAACAGCGAATTACCGTTGTATGCGTACCTTTTTCTATCCCAGTGTTCTGCATAGGCCCTATCTTGGGTGTTGGCCTGACTGCCCCGTCCTGAGTCCAGAAAATCGGGACAGATCCGCGAACTTGCAGAAAGATCGCCAAAGATCGCTTGAGTGTCGTCATAGATCCCGCCGATGACGTCACAGATCCCACAGATGATGTCACAGATGGTTTACGCTCCTTGGTGACAGTGCCGCTGTCGGCTTCAGGGTCCTTGGCAGCTCGTGTGACCACCTGTTTATGTATAAAGGTTTTTTTAACCTGTTTATGTATGGGTTTTTTTATAACCTGTTTATGTGTGTTTCTTTTTAACCTGTTTATGTATGAGGTTTTTTTTAACCTGTTTGTGTATGATTTTTTTAACCTGTTTATGTATGGGGGGTTTTTTAACCTGTTTATGTATGGTTTTTTTAACCTGTTTATGTATGGGTTTTTTTTTAACCTGTTTGTGTATGGGGGGTTTTGGAACCTGTTTGTGTATGGAGTTCGTATGTGTATATGATTTTTTTTGTTATCTCTGTATAGTCTTGGAAGATGTGTGGAAAATTCGGGTGTTTTATATGTCATGTATACACACTCGAACGTCAGTCATAGTCGTGGTAGCGACTTGTGCATGGCTTACGGATAGTCACACTCACTCACTCACATATACCTGAGCACACACTCAACAAACAATCCCAAACGTATTTGTATTGGGTACGGCTGTGTGTTGGCGGACATCCACACATACATACCCATACACCCATTTGAACATTTGAACATAACTAAAAACACCAATTTAACACACGCCCAAACATATCATTTGGGCATATCCACCCTGCAATCATACTCGAATGCTGTTGCGAAGCAACATATCCAAGTATTGTTGCTAAGCAACATACCCAAATACTGTTGCTAAGCAGAGCACTACATGTACTACTTACACTCGCGTGCATACGCACTAATACACACACACACACACACCAACATGCACACGCTGTATGTATACAATCTTGTCAACGGTGAAGTAACTTGTACCTACGTCTATACGTGTGGTTACCTCCCGTTACCTACCTCTACTATCAGTTACGTCTATACGTGTGGTTACCTACCGTTACCTACCTCGACTATCAGATACGTTTATACGTGTGGTTACCTACCGTTACCTACCGCGACTATCAGTTACGTCTATACGTGTGGTTACCTACCGTTACCTACCTCGACTGTCAGTTACGTCTATACGTGTGGTTACCTACCGTTACCTACCTCGACTATCAGTTACGTCTATACGTGTAGTTACCTACCGTTACCTACCTCGACTATCTGCTCTGTCTCGACATAGTTGGCCACATGTCCCTCCAGATCTATGCCCCGTTTCTTAAACCGCAGACCGTTGCGGTAACTGCTGCGCCGTGCAAACAGGGACAAGTGTATCTGAGCCTGTTCTTCCTCTGCGACTATATATATATATATATATATAAGGTGTGAGATAGAGGACAGTAACGGGTTGGCTTCTATATTCGGATCCAATCATATCTGGTAAAATTTAAACCTACTTCCTTCGCGACGTATCAGGATTGGTTGTTATCAATGCAGAATTATCGAACCCATTATTAATATTCCATTCGAAAGACAGTTAAACAAGTTACCGCTAGCTTCAACCTCAGCTGATACCCCCAAGCCACACACATTTGCTATCCGTTAAACGTATATCAGTGACTACAAATGAACCACCTGCCACGTACCGTATGTTTGGGCCTCTGCCTCTGTGAGTGGCGGTGCTTCGTCGTCAGGCGGTACAGGTGATCTCGCAAATAGAATCTCGTCTCGCTCCTCAGCTTCGGTATCGGATTCACACGGTGCTGTATGGTCGTATTGTCGTATTTTCGTATCAAATAACGGTAATTTATTGTCGTATTGTCGTATTAGTTAACGGTAAGATATGGTCGTATTGTATTAGTTAACGGTAAAATATTGTCGTATTGCCGTATTAGTTAACGTTGATATATTGTCGTATTGTCGTACTATCGCACCAGTCCGCCCAAAGCTGCGTGTTTGAAACACGCTTTCAACACAGCCCCGAGGGGAAACCAGTCTCCACCGCAACAAGTCACACACAGCTCACCCGTTTCACCTGAGTCGTCTGATGTATACGTACGTAGGTACGTACGTACGATTGTAATCGAGACGTGCTGGTGCGGGTGCATGTACTGGACGTTTCATTTCAAGGACAATCGATATCGTGCATCACCAGATAGACAGTACACCTACACTCTTCCTTTGGCGTATCCTTCTCCTGGCCCAATGGGAACTTGCGGCGGATAAAATAGCCCTGAATGATTGGCTGGCACCATTCCGTCACGCCCTCCTTCGCAAACGGGTGTAGCAGGTGCCGGTTGAACACGAAGGTGTGGTCGGCCTTTTGCCACAGATCAGATGCAGTGTGCTCGGTTGTCCCTTTTTCATTAACGGGTGCATATTTTCGACCCTCCGGTCCCTTTTCTTGGGTTTCGGGTTCTGTTCCGGGGCTCCGCAGCATTTGGTTGTGCTCGCGTGGCAAGTGTGTGTGTGTGTGAGAGACGGGTCGACTGAGATCAAACGTCCTGCACAGTAACCGGATGATAACGAGTCAGTTCTATGTACAGACACGTGTGTGTGGAGTGGGTCTTATGCAGTGCATCTGATCGGATGACATTTGATACGCGTGCGTGTGTGTAAGTGATGCGTTGGACGGGTGGTATATGTGTCACACGCCTTTACTGTGGTATAATTTACACTTAATACTGAAGTGTGGAATTGGACGAGCGTTTCCTTTGTAGGGCCATGCAAGAAATATATATATATACATACA